ATTTGGCCCATATTTTAGCTCAGTGTGGTAACCACCTGTGGTTAGCCCTCTAAATCCCAAGACCCATTGTTGCTCATGACTCCTCTAGGAGAGCTTTTGAACTCTTTGGGAAGCTGAAGCTCAACATACCAGAGCCTTGGCTAGGATTATTTTCTTTTGGGAGCTTTCATCTGAAAGAGGCAATATCACATTTTCTTACCTAAGCAGGTTATTGTTTGCTATTTGGTTTTTATATTAACCACCTTTCTCACTCATATATATGCCAACAATTATTAATAAAACATCTGAGAAAAAATACACAAGAACAAAAATGAGAATATAAGCTTAGAAATCTTAAGACAAAGACAAAATGAAAGAATCATGAATCATATTTAAAATATACAGGGACAAAAACTGCTATCATCCTTGAAATTTACTTGTGTGTCAATTTATTTGCTTATCCTATTTTTTAGTTTAAGCACATGTAAATTTAGCCTTTCAGATTATCTGCATTCCCATGCTCCCAAATGAATCTATATGACATGAAAAAAAGCAGTTATCATATTAGGTTTTCTTCCTTTGTTTAAGAGACAATCTACCCATCAGTTTAAATGTAATTATTTCTGAATCATGTCACTACAAATAGTGTGTTAGTGTTTAACAATACATTTTTCTGTTATGTTACTGAATCAATACTATCATTTCTAAAATTAGGCTAATACTAAGTAAATAGGAATTTTGATATTCTAAGAATGTTTCTGCTCATTTTATGTATATCTCTGTAATAAAAACTAAGTTCTCTTGTTTAAAACATATTCCTCTTAGAAGAGACAACTTGGAATCTCTCCATGTATTTTATACCTGGGCTAATGTGGCAATCTGTGGCTGGGCTTGAACTGTCATTTGCTGGCTTTCAGCTTCTGTTACAGCTGCATCTCCACTCTGCTGGTTCTCTGCTCCAGATTCCATGGTCATTTAGTTACCTACAATAATATGGAAGAGTGTTACAAGCACTACAGTGCTTTGTGCTTTTGTGGTTTTAAAGGCAATTTTCAAGTTGTAAATAAGTATATGTGGTGGTTAGGTTAGCAAATGCACTCAGAAATCTAGTTAAACTATTATGTAGTTGAATTATTGTCAGACTTGTCCAAATATGCTGAGCTATAAAAGTTCTAGTCTTTTCAAAAAAGAAAAAACTTTTTCCTTTGCCATTTCTTCCCAATGGGATATTACTCCATCTATTATAGAAGACGGGATTCCTCTCTTCCATGAATTTTCCCAACTAACAAGGGGAGGAAGGGCAGCAGCATAATTATAATTTTTTCAAAAATGTATCAATCAGGTAAGGAGGGAGGGTAGAGAGAAGAAGTGAGTTGATGACAGGGTCTATGAGATACTGGCTTCAAGGTACCGCCTATGTGGGTATTCCCTCCTATTATAGGGAAGAAACAGAAGAATTATAAGCTGCTTCCTCGGGAAATTATTGGTGGTAGGACAAAATAGCCCAGGTTTCAACAGCCCAAGTTATGGGGTATCAAGGTAGAAAGGTGGGATTAATAGACACAGAGTCAGACCTCAAACACTGAAGAGGTTACTTTGTGTTCTGACTCTTTACCCTATATATAGTGTGCAACATTACACGTATGTGCACACACACACACAATAAAACACCTTTTAAAATTTTAACTGCAAAATTCTAGATAAGTTAATCAAGGCTGATCTTTCTTACTTTTTGGAACCTGCTTTGCTAAGAGTTTACTATATTTCTTAGATCTGGCACTGGATGACAGCAAAAGTGAAGAGAAATTCCTAGCAGCAGTAGCTGCTACCTTGAGGTTAGGGAAATTGATTATATAAAGCAGATATAACTGGGAAAGCAACTGTGTCTAAAGGAGTCACAATAAAAGGGATTACTTCTTATTTGTGTACTACTGCTACCATTCAGAACCTAGCATATTACCTGTCAAAAATAAATTTAATAGTGAGGACTACCTATGGTGATTCCATAAACAACACAAGAACTCCAATGCTTTTCCAGAATTTATTACATTTATTTCATAACTCTGACATCAAAATAGTCACTGATCCTTATGTGATTATTACACGCCATCAGAATGTATCACATGCTAACATTTTGCCATCATTCACAGGATTCTATAAGAAGATAGTGTTTTTACAAGTGACAGTTAAAAATGAAAATATCTCTGTAGAAATGAATATAAATAATGTAGAAATACAGAAGCCACAAAACAGATGACAAAGGAAAAGATCAACAGACTTGACTACATAATTATTTAAAACATTAATATGACAAAAGCCACCAAGGCAAGTACACAAGGAGAAAATATCTGCTACATAAAATCAACACAATAACATCTAGAATACAGAGAAACTACTAATTCAGTAAGAAACACAGAGATATATGTTTCAAGGATGGAATTTTTTTTATAATAGCAGAAAACTGGAAACAAGTATCCATCATTAAGGAGGACCTTTAAAAAATTAAAGCAATAAAAAATAATGAAGTCTATCTATAATGTAAAGACACATAAAGCTTTCCAAGACAGACTGAGTGAAATGGCAAGTTATGAATATACTATAAAGTAGAAGCCCATTTATGTTAAAAACAAGTAAAACAAATTGTTGTAAGGGTGTATGCATGAAAAGAGGTATGGGAAGTTATAACTGAATCGTAATAAGTGGTGGCTCTGAAGAGAGATTTGATAGAACTGTATAGGATGATTTTCACCTTTTACTTTTTACATATTTTAGTACTTTACTTTTATTTTTCTTTCTTTCCATAAGCATGGATTCAGGATTACTTGCACGATTAAAGAAATTTTAATACCAGAAATGACGGATAACATTCTGAAACTGAACCAAAAGCTTTACTTCAGTCATTTTGAGATATCTGCTAAAATTTTTTAAATCTGATACTTTTTATATGAAATTAGTATTTTTGTTTAAGATTCACCTAAACTGTTTACCCTACATTTCCAAAGAGTAAAAATAACTATTTAAAAAAAATTATCAAATAACTTTATTACCCTCTGTGATCATTCACTGAATTGTACACTTAAAACCTGCGCTCTTTTAAACTAAAAAATTTAAGAAAGACATCAAAAATAACAGAAAGCAACATCAATAGCAAAATAGTTTATGTATACTAAATACTGTCCATACTTTTGCTCTGGAAGAAAATGGCACATGAAAGCAAAAAATCTAATCTTAGTAACAATAAAATAAGTAAATAAATCCATGTGAGGACAGTACTGAGTCAAGCTAAATAAGAGCAGAAACCCGCAAACTTTTCTCTATCTTCTCCCCTAAGTCATCAATTTAATGAGAATGAGAAGATAAATACAGATTTATCATCATAATACTTCCTTTGTAGAGAGAGAATATGCAACCATTTTTGAAAGACTTAAGTCGAGGCCACATTTATTTTTAACCCACGCTGTCATCCATATAGTTTCACTCCACCATTTGATTAAAAGTAATCCAAAGCACAGATCATATTTCTTTTGTTTTTGTTTACTTTTCAGTATGTCAGGGCTACTTAATTCTTTTTTTTTTGACATTTAAGGTATAGGGTATCATTACAACTTTTTGTTTCAAAAAATAAAATATTTATCACTCTATAATAAAAGAATAAAACCATTAGCTAACTTAAGTAATTACAGCTACAAGGACACATTCAAAATAGGAATGTGATTTGCATCCTTCTTTCTTCCCCAACTAGATAATATTCTTTTTACTTATTTTTTACTTTCTTCTAAAAACAAAGTGTGGTATTTCCAATGGTTAGCATCCCCCATGTAAACAAACTGCCAGTGTTTTATTATCATTTCATTCAGGCAGACTACCAATCCTTTTTCAAGGTGGGGGACGGCCTTCTTAATGAGTCTGAGTAGATATCAACCACTTGGGCAACAGTACAATTACTGTCTTTCATCAGATAATTCAGGCCTTCCTCAAAGTACAGGTGAGAATTACTTACAGAAAAACAATTTGTCTTAGATAAGAAATTCAAAGGACTCAACTAAAACAGAAACTATTTTTTTGGTTTTCACCTTGAGGGTACTGAAATAGCAGTCTCCAACTAAACTAGCATTTAAAGAGAGCACCTTAATTATGACTTTGAAAGCTTTTACTCTACTTTTGTTTGTATGCTCAGGTGGAGAGAGAAGAGATGCTATGGTATAACGTGTACAGTCTTCAATTTTTCTATTAACCCAGGAGCAGTCTGAGCCAGCAGAGCAGTACTTCAGACACAGGATCAGTTATTAGACCCAATACGTAGGTTTCCAAAATTACTCAAGAAAGGAGATTCCTAATTCATTACACAAATGAATGCTTTCTGAGAGTGCAAAAACAAAGACTGAATACTACTGTAAAATTAAAAAAAGATCAGGTACATATGAACTCAGAGGGAATGTTGTACAAATATTGGACCTGGAACATTAGAAACAATGAATCTTAGAAATCATGAAAAATCTAGTCTTGACAGTTTTGTGAAGAATTCTTAAGAGTTGTTCCAATAATTCTGAATTCCAAAATTTATTTGGGATTGATATTTAAGATTTAGGTATTTTTATGAATTTATCCCTAAAAATTTACATAATTCTTTGAAAACTGAACTTTAAGCAAATTTCAAAATAGTGTCACTCCTAAAAAAAAACCAATTTAAAAAAATAAATTCACAAAGATACATGCCATTTTGGGACTTCCCTGGTGGCACAGTGGTTAAGAATCCGCCTGCCAATGCAGGTGACATGGGTATGAGCCCTGGTCCGGGAAGATTCCACATGCTGTGGAGCAGCTAAGCCCATGCGCCACAACTACTAAGCCTGTGCTCTAGAGTGCGTGAGCCACAACTACTGAGCCCATGCGTCACAACTACTGAAGCCTGTGCACCTAGAGCCCATGCTCTGCAACACAACGAAGAGGAGCCCCTGCTCGCTGAAACTAGAGAAAGCCTGCGCAGCAACGAAGACCCAACGCAGCCAAAAAAAAAGATACATGCCATTTTGCTACAATGGTCTTCAGAGTTCTAACTGGTAACATGAAAAATAAAAAGGGAGTGATCCTGCAGTATTATGCACCCAATCTTGAGCAAAACGAAGAATGCTGTTCTAAGTAGTTGGGAAAGAGCCTAACACTTGGTGGAAAGCTGGATCTGTCACCAAGTGGTTGTTGGAGAAATTAAGCTTTTTGTGTTCCAGTTTCCTCATCTGAAAACAAGAGAGATGAATTAAAAGATCTCTCTCAATTTTTAAGTGCTCTGATCTTAGGAACTGACAACACAAGATGTATGCACACACACATATAATTATGCAGACCACTTAATAAAATTATATATTATTTCCTTTTAGTACATAGTTCATAGTAAAGAAAACAGACTAAGAGTAGGTCACCTAGCCTCTCAATTTTGGGCAAATATAAAAATATTACCATTCACATATATTACAAAATATAAAATTTATCAAACAGTTTAATAGTCCCTTTTCTTAATTTTCAAAGAGGATAAAGCAGCTTTTTCTTTCCATCCTAGAAAGCTTCAAGAAATTTATCTAAGACTGTATCACTTTTGTACCTTTATAAAGACAGTAGATATTTAAAAGTTTAAAATATAGTTTAGATAAACATCCCAATAAAGTGTCAAATGACTGCTTCCATGATATTTAAAAGGAGAGTATGCTGCAATAGTCAAGAGTGCTGGAATGCCAAAGAAACACTAGAGACAAATACAGTATTGAAAAATTTGGGGATTTATTTTCTGATAAGAAAAATGGTATAAGCAAAGGCTTAAATTATAGTAGGCCTTTAGAGAAATGGGTGAGTCAGTGGCTGGTGCCTGATCTTGCATAGAAGCAAGGATAAAAGATAAAGAAAGAATGGTCATTCCAAGCCAATCAGCAACTACTAGGGCAAAATGAGAATATGAGAATGATGTCTCTTAAAGTAAGTCACTGGGTTTAGA